TGATATTGTTTGATGAAGAAGAAATGCAGATGTGACAAAAGCTTGATGGGCTGATAACTTGAGTTTCTGACTCCATGTAAAACATTTGTGACATCTTTGACAGCTGCATCCTCTCAAATGCTATCATTTCTTCTTAAAATTTTGAACATCTTTTGAGTTATTTTAGATTATGTTTTCTCACCAAATTTTACAGTTAGTGCAGTGACAAATAGTAATAAGTGATAGGAAACTAGATTAAACTCTATAGAAACACCAAGGGTTACCAAGTTAGCCAGTGTTTCAGTGAATAAGATGGTGACATATTGCTTCAAATGTCAGTGAGGTTTAATAGAATAGGTTAGTATTATTTGAATCCTCCACAGATTCTTGGTAAATTAGTAGATTCAAAGAAGGCTTAAGTCTAGAGGTACAAGCCTGGATGCTTTCATATTAGTGATTACTACTGTTGTTGTAATAACAACTATTACTTGTCCTCTACCGGTTAATCTTGCTTTTTTGAGTCCTAACCTCAACTGGGATACTAAGGGCATTGAGCTACTTTCTGGCAATGCCAGTTGAAAGGCTTTCATTGATGCATGGATCAAACTCTGGAAATCTGAGGAGTTTAGTTCTCAAACTGGCTTTTCCAGTGTGGCAATAGACAGAATTGCCATTTTACCTTTGAATTTGTCCTACTATTTATGACTGACAAATCTAGATACTAAAGGCATAAAGCAGATACATAAACTCTAGTGTTTGTCAATCAGACACCTTTATATTATCTTAAGATAAACTTTAAAGAGTTATACATTATTTTTAAATCTATTTTTTAATTGAAATTTTGGAAAATGGAGAATACCAGAAACTTTATTATAGAAACTATAAAAGTCTATATATTATGCATATATTTATGCTATAGTGCTCACATAGATTAAAATAATGTAAACTGTATATCAAACTTCAGCCTAAGAATATTGAGCATCAGTAGAAGATACTCTCTAATATCTGGATTATAGAAATGATGATAGGCATTTAATTACTAATAAGCATTGTGCCTCTATATTTCGTATCTCATGAAGGAAGTGTCATGGGCTTTTGCTTAACCATAATGTGAGTAAAAAATGTAAATCTCCTATGTATTATTAAAATCAATTTTAAAGTTCAGATTGTGCCACTTTCTACTGAAGGAGCTTATGAGAAACTTGGCACTTTTACACCTACCTGATTAACACAGTCAATCATTTGCTGCTGCTCAATGTCCTGTGGTTAGGTATTTTGTTACATAACCACCCACTGGCCCCAAGTAAACAGGCATGAAAGGGAAACATCGTGAGTCACAAGGTTGAGAAAAACATGTGAAATTCAATATAATAAAGTACAAGGAAATGTTCAGTGAAAATAATGAGCATCAAGCCATATATAAAATTCTTTAGAAATAAAAGACAAATAATTGGCAACTTGATAATTCAGAAGATAAATGACAAATTATATGAGAAATAATCACAAAAAAGCAAGAAACCAAAGCAGCT